GAAAGAGCAGGAGAAGTGAGTATGTTCATTCCTGAAAGCATATAGCAGTATCAGCCTGTCTCACATCGCTTTCCCTCTCTTCTGCTGTTTCCAGGAGACACATGGAAGCTATAAACCTCAAACCTATTTAGGGCAATTTCAAGCATCCCAAATATTCAATACATCAAATATTTGATATAAAGTTGTCTGAAAGATGCCTTTCAGATGTTTTTCATGCTGTTTAGTTTGCTTGCTTAGAACATTAAATAATAAAACCTAACTTTGATTTGAGCTGCTGGCTTTGACCTCCATGGAAGACTCCTCTTCAAGTGTGCTTGAAGGAAACAGTTTCTAAAATTCATCTTTTCTGCTCTGATTGGTCACATGGCTGTCCCTCCTATTCCTCAAACTATGCCAAGTATTTAATTCTTCTTTGGGAATTTCTACTTATTACTCTCCTTCACAACAGAAGACAAACTGAGATTATGCCAAAAACAATTCAGGAAGTTACAGGTGTGGAACTATTTAGATATGTACACTCTCTTATGCCCTCCACCTTGGGGAAAAACGTAGGGGATGGAGTATTTGAGCTCTGCTGCCAAAGTTATGGCTATTAGCCTGTCCCACCTGCACATGACATCTTGCCACTTCTGCTCTGCTGTCCTTGCAGAGCAGAGAGCGAGGAGGAGAGCGTGCTCCCACCTCCTTCCCACCCTCTCTCTAGAGAAGGCATGGCCAAAGCAAGCTCTGTTAACATGAACTCCTGGCATCAGCTCCCCTCTGCCCAGTTAATCACAACACCTGATGGGGAAATGGTTTTTCTCTGTGAGTTTCCTTAGTGCTGTTGCCTTCTATAAAAGGGGCTCCAGTGGCTGCAAATACCTCAGCAGAAGCAGCAGTGTCTAGGGAATAACCTCCTAAAAGGAAATGTTGACCTAGGCACATTACTTGGACCATTCCTTCCCCTTCAGAAACATCTCTTTAGCACAGAGGTCCACTGCTGACCTCAGTGAAGAAAGAAAGCTGAAGTGAACCCCAGGACAGCCAATGCTTCCTTGTCACTGGCAGTGGACAGGCACAGTCCCCTCCTCTGACTGCAAGTGGAAACCTTTTGTAAGTCACCCAGGAACACAGCATGAAGCAAGGGAAACGCTGTACTCCATGCACTTCATTTGCTTTCAGTGAGTATGCACCAAGCAGTAAATTCAAGCAGCCGTACACGCGCAGGCATGAGTCACACTCACAGCTGGCCAGTTCTCTCCTACCTTGCAAAATGAAAAAACACCTGCTATAAAAGGCCCCAGCAGAGCCTCAGTGACCAGCCAGTGACCAACCAAACAGACCAGCTGCCACAGCTGGAAACATACATTGGGTTGGCACCCAATCCAGGGATCAGCACAGCTCCACTGCTAGGGATGAAGGGGAAGTAAAAACAGGCAAGTAACTCGTTTCATATCCAAATTCATATACCCTCCCCTCCAAATGCAAAAAACCAACCCCAGAACAGAGACCTGTTGCTTAGCTGATATTTAACAACGAAATTGTATCAAATGCAGATCAGCCTGAGAGCAAATTTGGCTACAGCATATACCAAAGAGACTGTGTAAACCTGTTAGTAAACACTAAGCAAACATTAACAACTTCCCAGAATTTCCCCACACCAAAGTAGACACCCTCCCAGCAAGCAAAAAAATGTTTTTTTCTAAGATTGCTTCCTTCTTTATGAAAATTGCAGTGAGAAACTGTAGAAGACTGCTCTTCCATCAGCTCCAAACCCCAAAGACCACTATGGCAGATCTATACTTCTGTTAATGCAGGTAATAAAGCAGATTTATTTAAAGGGAACAATATTTCTTAACTTGTGTTCTCTCTATCTATATATTTAGTTTTCATTTTTAAAGCACTGGGATGAAACCAAAGCTAAGTAAACTTAAATAGCATAGGAATTTCTGCAGGAAATAACAACAAAAAAAATCATTCTTTCTTAAAAAACAAACCTTAAGAATTTATGGATTAAGAAAACAAGATATGACAACAAAGTCTGTGGCTGGATCTGGAACATGCAAATACATGCAATTAGATGCTAAAACAGATGACTTCAGATTCAAATCAATATAGATTAAGTATTCATGAAAGGAATCATTACAACAGCAGTAAAAACAATATATGGAAACATTTGGTATAGTACAGCACTCTTGCCTGTCAGGACAAGAAGCCTTAAGTATTTGGCCTAATTAGTAATACTATTTTAAGCATCAATTAAGATATATGGAAAGAAAATAATTAAATCCCGTAAAAACAGAACTAAACCAAAAAGTTTGCTTACTCTTCTTGACGCAAGTCATTAACGCTTCGATCTAGTGAGATCATATCACTTGCCACCATATTAAACCCAAACTCTTTAATGCTGGCTTGAATGGATTCTTTGTAATCTGGTCCTAAAACATATGGCTTTGCTTCCTCTCCAGGGCCATTGACAACTCCGTGAGGCTCAGGCTCTTTGGGTTCAAAATTACCAAGGACTCCAGGTCGTAAAACAGGATCTCTGTATACAAATGTCTGAGGCTTAAATGTGAGATACTGCCTCTGGATGATGTTTTGCTGTTTGCTATCACCATCACCATGATGATTTAGTTCATTTTTGGCCTTATTTTTCCTTCGAATGGATTCCAAGTCCACTTCCACACCTTCAACATGAGGCCAAGGTACCACAGGTTTGAACTTCTCATTTCCTAGTCCATGGTCTCCTTTGTTTGGCATGAGTCTGTTGGCTTCTTTGTCATCCTATACATACACAGAGAAACAGCAGGAGATCATATAAACAGATGACCCTTTATTTATTTAAATCCAGTACCTTAACACATTGAGAGTTGGTACTATCTTTATGTTAAGCAAGAAGGAAGGAGCCTCTGTAAGGGGCTCAATGAACACTTTTTACTAAAGCAACTGCCTGCTGGAGAGCATCACCACCTACTTACCTTGGTGAGTAGGTCCTGGAAATAGCCCAACACGCAAAGTATTCCCAAAGACCAAACACCCATGCAGGACATGTTAACTTTTAACACGGTTCGGGCTGCACATGAAACCAATGTGTAGGGAGCACCAACAGAGTGTTTTATGAAGGGGGGTGGTATGGAGGCAGACAATGTTGCAATGCTGAGCACGGCATCCTTGGGGTTACTCTTGGGCACAGCGTGTTTCTGAGGCTACGCGTACTGGCTGCTGAGACCTCTACAGGGTCTCGGCAGTGGCTAGATACAGCCTCAACATGCTCCTGAGCTGGAAAAGAGTGCTGTGACTACGTGTAATCTGGCAGGCACATCTGTGGCAGCCTCAAGGCACATCTAATCCCTACCCTTCGCTCCCCCTACTTGCTCCCACCAAGCATTACTCCCTCTGCTGCAACAGCAGTGCTGTTTATTTAGTCATGAGGTAAGCTGAGGGCACAGGGGACAGCAGGCAAAAATGAGACGCAGCCCTGGTTTGATCTGCTGCACGGCCACACAGACAGACCCACCTGGGGAAGCAGCGCTGGGGCTGGAGAGACCTGCCACAGGCACTGGCACTGATACCTCCTGCATCCTTGTTTTAAACAACTTCACCCTTTTACAGCACTCCTCCCTGCCTCCTCACCAAGAGATGTGAAGTTCTTGCTGAGAGGAAAGGCTGGGGTTTTGCAAACTGGTTGGCATTTTCAGTGATCGGCGAAGTTGTGGGGTTAGAATAAGGATGGGTGATTTTGGAAGACCATGGACAGAAAGGCTCTGAAGTTTTTAAGTGCAAAGTCTCGAGAATACAACAGCCCCACCCACGAATGCTCCCCAAAACATACAGTGACTGCTTTTTCCAGTACTACTGTCCAAGAGGACAACAGGGAAACACTGCTGAAAGTTCACGTTTCCTGCTAAAATTATCTATTTGTAAACAGGACAGATGCTAGATCATACTGAAATCTGCAAAGAACAATGCACACATTTTAGCGACATCTCACCATCTAGTCACAAATACAGAATCAAACAAAAAATTGAGATCAGAATGTCGTCACCTATTCAAACTTGCCGAAGGCAGGGATAGCCTCACAGTTACATCAGGCTTCTCACAGGCTTATCCAGTCACACCCCACAATCCTCCAGTTTCTCTGGACAACCTGTTCTGGTTGTTTGACCAGTCTCAAAGTGAAGGTATTTTTCCTCATACCTCAGCAGAAGTTTCTCATGTTGCATCTTGTGATAATTGTCTCTTGTCTGTTTAGTGTGCACCCCTCAGAATATTTTATTCACATTTTTTCTGTAACCTCACTTTTGAAGGTGAAAAGATGCAATTATATTCCCCATTAGACTTTTCTCCAGCCAAACCAAGCCAAGCTCCTCTACCCTTTCCATGACTGTGGCACATGCTGCATCCCTCTAGCCTCCTTAGTAGGCCTTTGCTAGGTCCTCTCCATTTGTTAACATTTCTCCTGTGCTGGGCAGTGCAGAAGGAGAAACCAGACACAGTGCTCTAGATGCAGGCTTGTTAATGCTGTGTGTCAGGGAAACAAACCACATCCCTTTGCTTGGTGGCTAAGCTCTTCCTAGTGTAACCCATTATGCCATTTGCCTTTTCTGCAGCAAGGGCACAATGACTCATGTCCACGTTTAACTAAGCCACACAATACTTACTACAACATTACAGTATTTTCCTCACGTACCATTTTGTGTAATAAAATTTCAGAAATTAAGAAAAATCCAGTATAAAATATGTCTAGATTAACATGGTAACAATGGAGTCAACCTGGCTCCGAGTGAAAATAGTAAGTTTATTCAAGAAACTTTCCCATTTCTCTGCTCATTCCAGTTTAAACAGGGAAGACATACAAAATGCAGAAGTGTTAAATTATTCTGTTCTTCCATTACTATTTTTTGAGGAACATAAAAGTCAGTATGAGAAAGCAAAAGAAGGTCATGTGAAAAGACACATTTTGCAAGGAGGTAGAAGGCTGTCACGGATCTAAATAAAGCCCTGAGAGGACTTTTGAAGGGAGCTTCATCTCACACTTAGCCTAGAAATCAAAAGGAAGGCTTTACCACTCAACTGTCAGAATGCTGCTGAGCACTCAGCTCTTACCAATTCGCATCTAATTCCTGTTCTGAGCGCAGAACAGCTATAAAAGCCAACAAAATGGTGGGCATCATCAGCAAAGATGCTTAAAAGACAGCATCGTTTTGACTGCATAAAATTTTGAGGCATTCATGTCTTCAGTAATATTTAGTTCTGGTCTCTGCATCTCAAAAGGAGTTAGAGAAGGTACAGAGTAGGGCAACCAGAATGAATAAGGTAGTTAAGTATCTTGAGATGAAAGACCAGAAAGGCTTGCCTTTCACCTTACGACTTTGCAGCTTGGAGATGTGATGACTGAGGGGCATACAACTGAAGTTTACAAAATCATGAAGGTGACGGATAAATTGAATGAAAACCCACTGTTTAACTGAAATACAAGAAATGGAGGAGCTTGACAAAATTGATAGGAGATGAACCAAAAATTTTTCTTTGCACAGTGATCTCCTGGAACATGCTGCACAGGAGGCTCTGAAGAGAGACGGTACAAATGGTTGAACAAGGGATGAGACAACATGATGGACAACAGGTCCATAAGTGGACTGTAAAATGCCTGGGCAGGGAGGTACCTTCTAAAAACTCCAAATCAACAGCTGTGGATACTGGAAGAGTCTAAAGGGAAGGGAGCATAAAAAGCAGCCAGGTTTACATGCTTCCGCTCTCAGAAACCATCCTGGATCACTAGTCTTTATCAGGCAGGAATTCTTTATGCCCCTCATTGATATGAAATTAAATATTCTTTCATTCTACTTCCATCACCTATAAAACAGTTATGAGGTTCCATTTAGCCAGTCCTCTGACTGAAACATAACACTTCTCAAAGTAATTTGTCTATTTTGCTGTCATCAGAACTATGACCTACCTTGTATTACATTTAGCCTCATTATAACTGTTATGCACAATTTGCATTATAATGCATTTATTGGCTGTTCCCTTCTAGACACTATATATATTCCATTTTTGCAAGCCTGGGAAAATATTGCATAAACCAAGAAGATTATACACAAACACACAGACACACTCATTCACCTCTTTCCTCCAATTTTATGTACCTAGGACAAATATGATGGAAGGCATTTGTTGTGGGTTAACACCCACAGGCAGCTCAGCCACACACAGCTGCTCACTCCTCCCTCCCCACCCCAGTCACAAATCTAAAACACAGCATCATACAGGATGTTATGAAGAAAATTAACTTCATCTCAGCATTTTATGGGCATTTTTCCAGGAAAAAAAAAGGGGGGGAACTAGCAGCATTTAAGTGCATGGTGCAGACCACAGATCCTGAAGGTTATTTGTTTCCCCAGCGATAACAGAGACAAAGGTTTTCCAAATACTGTCTGGAAAAAAAATGAAGTCAAACCACAGCCAAAGAACTACTTTGATCATCACATAAGCGAGAATGCCTTAGTTATGAACTTCTAGAGCTTCTTCTCTTTTATGAATTATGACTTCCCCCCTCTTTCTTCTTTCTTTCTTTCTTTTTTTTTAAATGATTTAATAACATATCCAAAAAAACAGAAAAAACTTTTAATCAGTGTGCCTCTGATTGAAAGTTTGGCTCAGCTAAAAATGTACTATCAAACTTCTAATCATACAACGACAGTCAAACTAGAAGGCATGTATATTTATTAAAAAATAATCACAACAACCTTTCTAAAGTAGAAAAACAAGATAGTGTTAAAATTATTTGAAAAACTCTGGAAGAGACAAATCAATGACAACAAGGTGAAAGGAGGGCTTGGAAGAAGTGAGCACAACACATATGAACACTGCACTTCTAGGTCTTCCAAAAATGAGGGGAGAGAATGTGACCTCTCACATCTGAAAACAACAACAAAATCTCATTACATCTTTACAAACAACACATAGTAAGCTGTTTACATACAGTAATACAGAAATTTTTTTTCCACAGATCATTGTTTTTCTCTATGGGGCTAGATTTAGGATTTCCTGCCAGCTTTTCTAGCTCCAGTTCACTGCATGCTGCTTTATTTTTCAACTGTTCTTTTCACTCCTTAGGGGATTACGTATGAGTCACTGCAATGGGTGTTTCAGAAACAGTGAGATGATATAACTACAGTCAATTCCTCACTTGTATTAAAAAAAAAAAAAAAAAAAAAAAGGAGGTCCTTGGTATAATTTGTTTTGCAAATTACATTCTTCCTTTTTGCAAAAGAGGGGAATGCAATTAAAGGTATAGGGAACAAAACTGTATCCCTTTGGAAATATGTTTCTAAACTATACAAAGCAAAAGGAGAGGACTTCATAGAGCCGCAAGACTGGTCAACAGGTAGGAGGGCTGGGGTTGTAGCTGGCAATAAAACTGCAAATGTGAAAGTTGCATAATCTGATTTTCTTCAGTCAACCAGTTCAAGACTGGCAACTCCCTAAAACTCCCTATGAAATAATGTCTGAAGAACAAATTGATGTTAAAAAAGTGGATTTGCTTCATTTCTAAAATGGAACATTATCATACTGCAAAAAAGTTTTCTAATTAAAAGCACTGTCTATAAAAGCAGCTTGCAATAATCGGACAAAAACCAGTGACGCACAAAAAATGAAAAGGGGAGTAATTAAGTAGAATCCAGTATTAGTCTCATTACCCAAGGACACAAAAGGAAATTAACAAAAACCTTACACTCTCAGAATATACATGTTCATACCCAACTGATGAAAGATCGATACTGAGCATCACAATATTCTGGTGTTCCTCATGAAAAAACTATAAAACCTGATAGAGTTTATTATTTTAGTAACCTAGGAAGCCAGTCCCTACGTAGTTTTATTTTCTCCAGTCCAGCTTTTACTTTTCATAACTCTTGGCTGCATCTACACCACTGCACTTACCATGAAAGGCAAATACAGTTGATGCTCTTCCACCATAAGGAAAGGTTCAAGGTCTTTTAACTGAGGATGAATCAAGAGCTCTCAGAGCTCCCCTAATACAGGT